AAGACTCAGATAGAAATATATGTTCGTCCGATTCAGAATCCGATGATGAGGTAATATCTGAGTTTGATGAAATGGATTTAGATGAAAATGAAGAAGAGGACGCTTTGGATTCAGATCGAATTGTTGAAGAAAAATATGAAGAGAGAAATGACTTATGTAATATTGACTCGCCCAGATTGGACGAAGACGATGTAATATTTGTTAGCGATGTGACAAAAGAGGAACTAGACGAACTGATCAATAATATGGAAGAAGTACCATCAAAGGATGAAATTATAAAAATGTGGAAACGCGCATATGCTCTGGAAGGACAAGAATTTTACGAAATGATAGATGGTTTATTCGAATATTACGAAGAGTTAAAGGGAAAACATCAAGTAGAAGAAGAACCTGCTTTCAGTCTTTGGAGTGAAGTTATGTCCAGATGTTTTGATGTACTAGCAGAGAGGGAGCAAGAATACAGTAAACTTTTCAACGGCTTCATCTTGAAAGATGAGTTGACCAAACATGAATTTATGAATTTCTTGAACAATTGCAAGAAGGAGGCTGCTGAATTCAGGGAATCTTTAGAAACCTTTGCGAAGAAAGAATTCGAAGCAGAAATTATCCCAGAGGAAGAAGGCAACTAAGAATGTGATTCTTCAACTGAAAAAAGTTACGAAAAAAGTGGTAAAACGAATCATTGTGCACCTATATATGCCAGTGTCAGCAACTATCGCGCAGATTGATAATGTAAAGAAACAGTGAAAAACAGCGTATGCTTTTCTTTGATCGTATAATTGGACAAATTGGCTTGGACAGAGTGGCTTGGACAAACCAAGATCTCATGATTTTACTGCCCGGCGGTCCGAAATGAAAAGCAGAAGATGGAAGAGAAATGGCTTGGAGTTGTTCATAATATATCATCTGTCACATACGTAGCGTGTAGACAGATATGGAGCCAAAAGAGAAGAATGACTATGCAAAATATGAAAGCTACCTAGATTGGTAGTTTATCTATACATCAAGTAAATTTTTTTGAATTTCTATTTCCAAGAAGTGATAATATTTTTTATATATGTGGCTTACTTGCTGACTTAACTGCATTTTTACAGTTTCTCCCTTTGAACTTGTTATTTACTAGTAAAAATTTCACATTTAAGAATCAACTTCCACTTGCATTGGGTCTTTACATGCGTTTTAGTGAATATACATAATGTAGCTATGACCATAATTTTATAAGTACCTTTGCATATGGGCTACCTAAAACGATATAGAATGACGTGAGATGCATATTTGTTTATAACATGATAATTTAAAC